AGAGACAGATTGAGCTAGAGAGACAGAGACAGCGAGAGACAGACAGACTAAGGGAGATAAAGAGAAAGAGATAATGAGAGACTGGGATAGAGTGAGCGAGAAGGACCGAGCCATATGGACAGTGAATGAGATAGACTGATAGATAGTTATTGAGGTAGAGACTGAGAGAAAGTGAGACACTGAAAAAGGGTGAGAGAGAGAGACTGAGAGTGAGAGTGGGAGACGGAAAGAGACAGAATGAGAGAGAGAGGGGGGGAGCGTGAGAAATTGAGAGACAGAGAGCTAACGAGTTAGTGAGAGTCTTCGAGAGAGAGAGAGAGGGACATAGGGCGAGACAGAGACAGAGAGTTTGCTAGAGAGAAGCTGAGTGACAGGGAGGGTGAAAGTCGTATAGATATAGAGAGGTGGCCTGAAAGATAGAGATGAAGAAAGCGATCGAGAGACTGAGAGGGGGACATAGTCTGAGAGAGATTGAGAGGGAGATACTGAGAGTCAGAGAGCTTGAGAGACGGATAGTGGGAGAGCGAGAGATACTGAGAGTGCAGCAGAGACTGCGAATGCGAGGGAGACAGACTGGTAGAGAGGGAGAGAGAGTGAGATTGAAGGAGAAAGATAGATAGACTGATAGTGAGTGACTGGCATACAGAGAGCCTGAGACAGAGAAAGAGACTGAGAGAGAATCTGAGAGAGAGATGCGGACTGTGAGAGGGAGAGAGTCAGAGTGAGAGAGACATAGAGAGTGTGAGAGAGAGATAGATTGAAAAAGAGAAAGACTGAGCGAGAAGGAATGATAGAGAGACTGGGATAGACATAGAAAGATGCTCAGCGATAGAGAGGGAGAGACTGAGAGAGATAGAGTGGGAGTGTTAGGGCGATAAAGGTCTAGGGAGAGAGATAGTCAGAAAGGGAGAGGCTGAGTGATATAGAGAGACACGTAGAGAGAGAGGGTGATACAGACTGAGAGATATAGAGTGGGTATTACATAGAGAGAAAGAGAGAGACTGAGAAATAGAGATAGACTTGGATTGAAAGAGAGACGGAGATAGAGGAGGAGACTGATGTATAGAGAGCGAGAGAAAGAATGAAGGCGAGTGAAACTGAAAGACTGATAATGACAGACAGAGAGAGACAATCTGAGAGAGTGACAGGGAGGGAGTGAGAGACAGTCTGAGAGGGAGAGTTAGACAGAGGGAGACAGCGACTGAAAGATTGAGGAAAAGGCAGAGGGAAAGAGATAGATAGAGACTGAGTGAGATGGAAAGATACTGTAGGTGAGATAGAGACTGAGAGAGGGAGAGGTACTGATAGGGTGACATATATTGACAGACAGAGTGAGAGATGGAGGCTGCATGATCGAGTGAGAGAGACAAAGAGAGACAGAGGCAATGGTGATGAGAGACCGCCTGAGAGTGTGTGGGTCCGATAGAGATAGCGATAGTGAGAGACAGAGAAAGGCAGAGAGACTGAGAGATAGAGAGGGGACTGAGAGTGTCAATAAAAGAGAAAGAGAGACTGAGCGAAAGTGAGAGACCGAGAGAAAGTCTAAGAGGTATTATCAGAGAGTGAGAGGAAGAGACGGAGAGAATGTGACTAAGAGACAGAGCGACTGGGAGACCGAGACAGTGAGAGACTGAGAGATGAAGAGAGAGAAGGTGAGACTGGGAGAGAGATGATGATTAAGGGGGAGAGACTGAGAGTGAGAGAGATTGAGGGAGAGTTAGTGAGCCTGAGAATCAAATGATGACAGACACAGGGGGAGGCTGAGAGAGAAAGAGGAAAACGGAGAGAAATAGAGACAGGGGGAGAATGAGAGATAGAGAGAGAGACTGACTGAGATAGATGTCGAGCGACTGAGAGAGAGAGAGAGAGAAAGACGGAGGAAGGGAGAGAGAGTAAGAGAGTCTGAGTGAGACAGGTAGAGATTTAGAGTGTAGGAAGGACTTGGACAGATTGACAGATATACATTCAGGGATCGAGAGTGGCGAAGATGAGAAATTGCGAGACACTGAGAGACGGAGAGAGAAAGTGAGAGAGAGAGATTGAGCGAGTTAGAGTGTGAAAGAGAGAGAGGAAGAGGCAGAGATGGAAAGAGATATATTGAGAGACTGGGGGAGAGATAAAGAGACTGAGAGCGTGAGAGAGACAGAGAGATATAGAGAGACTGAGAAGGGGGAGATAGAGACTGAGACAGATAGAGTCCGTGAGAGAATAAGGGAAAGAGAGATAGAGTGAGAAACTGCGAATAAGAGTGTCTGAGGACATGGGAAAGACAAGAGAGAGTGAGGGAGTAGGAGAGCGTCTGAGGTTGCGTGAGAAAGAGAGATTTAGAGAGACTTTGAAAGACAGAGATAGAGAGGGGGGGATAGAGTCTGAGAGAGAGAGAGATGGAGAGAGAGCGAGGGAGCGTAAAACTGAGAGAGTGATAGCGAGATAGAGAGAGAGAGCGAGTGAAACTGTGGGGAAGTGATACTGAAAGAGGTAGAGTTATACCGAGGGAGAGGAGGAGGGCAAGATAGAGAGAGATATCGCGAATGAGAGTGTGTAAATGAGAGATAGATAGAGAGGCAGTGAGAAAGAGAGAGAGAGATTAATTGACAGGGAGAGATACAGACTAAAAGGGCAGGCGGAAGAGGGATAGAGAGAGAGGCTCAGAGATAGAGAGGGAGAGACTAAGAGAGGCAAAGAACGACTGAGAGGGAGAGAGCGTGAGGGAGAATGACTCTGAATAAGAGAGAGATTGAAACGCAGAGAGAAACAGAGGGTGGGAGATTGAGAGATATCGACTTTGATTGGAAGAGGCGGAGAGAGAGGGAGATTCAACGCGACGGAGAGAGACTGCGAGGGATAGTGAGACTGTGAGAGAGAATGAGAGAGACACATAGACATAGAGACTGAAAGTGAGAGAGAGATTGAGGAAGATAGAGAGAGCGAGGGGGAGAGATATGCCGGGAGAGGAAGAGAAAGTGAGAGAGAGGCAGAGACAGTGATTTGAAGAGTGATAAATAGAGACTGAGGGCGAGATAGACAGGGAATGAGAGAGAGGAATAGACTAAGAGAGATAGAGACTGACAGTAAAAGAGAGAGAGACTGATAGATATGGAGACCAAAGGAGAAAGCGAGATAGAGTGAGAGGGAGAGAGAGATAGAGACTAAGATCGAGAGATAGAGTCTGCGCGATAGCGTAAGAGATAGTGTGGCAGGCGCGATAGAGTGAGAGAAAGTAAGAGAGATAGAGATAGTGAAACTGAGGTTGAGAGAGTGGGAGAGAGAGAGAATGAAATAGGGGAGAGAGAGAGAGTGAGATAGAGGGAGGGAGAGAGGGTGAGTGAGTGAGAGCGATTTAGAGAGACTGAGAGACGTATTGAGAGAGATATATATATATATATATATAAAGAAAGAGAATGAGAGAAAGGGGTAGAGACTAGGAGAGAGGGAGATAATGGACGAGAAAGAGCTAACCTGAATGAGACAGGTACTGAAGGAGACTGAGGGAGAGCGAGAGAGAGTCTGAGTGAGAGACGGAGCGAGAGTGACTTAGAGCGACTGAGAGATAAACTGAGGCTGAGTGAGAGAGAGAGAGAGACAGTATGAGGGAGAGAGGTACCGCTAGAGCCTGATTGAGATATAGTAACTGACAGAGACAGAGAGAGGGATAGACTGAGAGGAAGTGAGAGGGGGACTGACAGATATAGAGACCAACAGAGAGAGAGACTAAAACTGACAGAGTGGGAGATTGAATGAGGTTGAGTGAATGAGAGAGATTAAGAGAGACTGTGAGAGAGAGAGATAGACGTATATAGAGAGAGAGATGGACGGAGATAGATAGACAAAGAAACGGAGAGGGAGATAGACAGATACATTGTGAGAGAGGAGGAGACTGAGAGAGAGAGAAATGCGGATAGAGAGACAGGAAGGGCGGGAGCTTGGGACACTGTGAGATAGAGAGACAGAGAGGGAGACTTTGAGTAAGAGAGAGGGACAGAGGTAGAGGCAGAGAGAGTCCGAGAGAGATGGGGAGCGAGGCAGGCGGAAAGGGAGTAAGAGAGAGACGGATATTTAGAAATAGAGTGATGGAGGCTCAGAGAGAAACTGAGGGAGGGATAGGGACGTGTAGATAGAGAGAGATGGGCAGAGAGGGAGAGTTAGACGTAGAGAGAGACGGCGTGGGACCGTGTGAGAGAGATGGACAGAGAGAGATTTAGAGACGGATTTAGTGAGATAGAAATGGAGATAAATTAAGAGAGAGGCGGAGAGTGGGAGACGGAGAGGGAATGCGAGGCGAAGAGAGGGGGAGAGAGAGACTGAGAGTTAGAAAGATACGAAGAGGGAGAGAGAGTGGCGGATAGACTGCGGAGAGAGGGAGAGAAAATTGAGTGAGAGACTGAGAAATAGAGGGAGATGGAGATAAATATAGAGAGAGACGGTTAGAAAGATTGAGTAACGCAGAGAGAGAGAAAGATGGATAGATAGAGAGACGGAGAGAGAGATAGACTCAGAGACGGAGAGATAGAGGGAGAGAGATACCTGCGCAATTTGTGCTTCAGGTCCCAGCTTTGGTCTGCTAGTTGGTTGCACTCCGTGTTCCCTATCGACCATACGAAGCATCTTTGCTTCGAGAAGCCAATGGATCAGTGTGCGCCCATTCCTTATTGAATATATTTCCGATCTGCAGCGTCGGGAAATAGCAGGTGACCTAGGGCTCGATCCCGCAACCGAGAGGACAACGAGCCCGGGGCTTTGTGGTGAGTGTTAAACGTCTAAATAACAGGTTGCGGAATCGAGCCCCAGGTATTCCACACTTCGGAGTTGGCTATGACTGCTTGATGATGGATAATAAGCCAAAAATGGCCATTCCAACCTCCGTTGTCTTTGTCGGTAATGCCATTCTGCCTATATCGTGCGCCGCTGTGCGGTTCTTGGTTGGGCTCGAGCGAACGCCCATAAGGCACAACAGGACGAGTGAATTCCATAAAAACTGTCGATGGGCGCTCCTCTAACTGTCACTTTAGCCTCAGGATGCGACGAAGACAACTGAGGTGGGAGTGGTTCAGACGACGCGCCTGCTTTGCGTACACTGTCCAAGTCTTCGCTCCATACAGTAGTGTCGGCAGGATGACGGCCTTGTACATCTTCAGCTTGGTGCTGAGCTGAAGACCATGGCGATTCCAAACTGTGCTTTGAAGACGACCGAAGGCTTGACTGGCTTTTGAGATCCTGTTGGCGACTTCGTCGTCGATCTTGGTGTTGCGGGAGAGAGTACTGCCCAGGTACGGGAAGTTCTTTACCACTTGCAGTTGGGTTCCGTTCACGCTGATTTGCGGCGGCGCGTTGGTGGCTGTGGCTGAGTTGGGTGGCGGTTGGTGCATCACCACCATCGGGCAGCTAAAACACACTATCCCACTCCCCCAACGGCACCCACACCTCCCAACACCATCAGTCACCACAAGCATCCAATTGCCCCCTCTCACTTAGGCGCGAAGTATGCTTCTCGGCTCCATCTCCATACGGCTGAATTAGTGGTCCGAGTGGCGTGGAAGACTGCTGGCTGACGCCCCACTTCAATCCACGCAGTCTGTCGAGTTGTGTGTGTTTATGTGGAGTGGTGGGCTGGTAGGCTGAAGGCTGGGCCGTTACAGTCCCTTCTTAACCGGTCGGTGACACTCTGACGCATGTGTATGTGTGTGTTGTATGGATAGTGCCTCTCAGTATACGACTGTCTCTTTACCTAGCCTTGAGGGGTGAGAGTCTAGGCAAATGCAGAGCCATCTGCCACCCCTATGGGCCAAAGGCACTGTAAGCGTCACCTATGCTTGAATTAGCAAACCATGCGCTGGCAGTTCCTAATGAAAGATGCGCTTGCCATCTCGCTTGGTATACAGGTCGCAAGCATGGCTGCCCAGTCATTCTCCCTCCTCTGGCCCGTCGTGGTGCTGTTGTCAGTTAAGATGCCGGTCATTTGCTGTGTGGACCAGGATGTGGGGTGTTGAGAGTCAAGGTGCGAGTTCGGTCGCGCCATCCACCTGCGCCCTCCTCCGCCTCCGGTCTTACTGGCTTTGTCTTGACACCGGGCTCAGGCGGGGAGGGGGAGGAGAGAGTGCGGTGGATACAATACACTCACTATAAGCTAATTCACGCGCAAATCACTCTGCCTGCTCCACTTGTCTGTGGAGCACACGGTGGACATCGTCGGATACGACAGTCGAACTGATATCACGCATGTGAGATCCGAGCCGCCCACACCATCTTTGTGAAACCCTGGCCCGTGGAGGAGGGGACAGGTCGTCGTGTGTGTCACACATACAGCCGGACTTGTAGCAGTTCGCGTCTCCTCACCCTCCGCCTTTGTCATGCTGCCGTCCTGTCCGCCTCACACTCCATGTCGACACGCTGCTGGGCCGCGCGTGTGCTCGAAGCCAATCAACGCTGTCCCCACTCTGATTGGCTGGCGACGTGGAGACAACGAAGGGCGCACACACGCGCTAAGACAACACCTCGAGGGCGGACGCAGACAACAGCTTGCTTGGAGCGCGCTTGCGGCGACTGCCAACACAGCCTTTGTGTACACGCTTTCCAAGCAGTAAAGTTTGTCCAACTCAAACCGTCTCCCCTGACTTATGATTGGGAATCTTTATCTTGTCGACCACAACTCTCGACAGACTCTCTAGCTCTGTCAGCCATTGCGTCCAGCCCCCGCATCAAATGACTGATCAGCCCGTTCAGTGGACTGATGACCGAGAGACAGATGCGAGTTTGAGCCCTACTCTAGGGACTATTTCCTCAGCGCATATCCCTAATATAAACAATCTGACGTGCTTGAATATATCATGGACTACTTAGAATGATGCCACGGTCCTCCTCTCGGGACGGAGAGTCAGGCTGCAAGGGCATCTTCTTACGGTAGTCATCATAAAACTCCCAATCAGTTGGGGGTATTCGCAATGCACCCCCCACCGCGCCTCTAATTCTTTTGATTTTATCTAAACGCCGGGGTCAGTTGGATGAGGAGGAAAGAGTGCGTTGGATGCAACGCACCTACTTTCACTTTGGAAGACTAGACGTCTTAGCTGGAAGGAAGTAAGTCCTACAATGGAACACTGCACTTTGGGTCTATTTTTTGCGCAGCATCAGCCCTATGAGACTAAGCGGCGGGCTTAGATGATAAACAGGCATCTCCAACTGCGTTATTTTCAAATTTCTGTCTACTGTCCCCGAAATTTGCATATGTTCAGTTCACGCGTCGTGTGCATATATATTGCTGATAGAAGCGAAGATGCGCGTCCCCGGACATAAATCAGAAGAAAAGGCGATCTCGGGAACCATAGTTTTACTGTCCTGACAGTAAAACTATGGTGAGTAGAGGCGTTGACTTCTAAACCAACAGGTCGCGAGTTCGAGGCTCGGGTGTTCCACACTTCGGGCTTGGGTATGGCTGGCTGACGACGGCTAATAAGCCAGAAATGGCCATTCCAGTCTCCCTTGTCTTTGTCGGCAATAGCATTCTGCCTATATATCATGCGCCGCTGTGCGGGTGCTGGTTTGGCTCGAGAGAGAGAGTCCATAAGGCACAACGGAACGAGTGAGATCCGTATGAACGATCGGTGAGCGCCCCCTAACATATATATATATATATATATATATATATCAATGCAGAACTTGGAGTTAAATCTCCGGGACATGACTTTTTAGGGTCAGAACCGAAATTTCAATGAACATTTGAGTCGAAGACAATCAACTACTGTGGAATAACCACGTAATGCCCATTCTACAAACAAGTAGTACTACGAGTAGTATGAATTCCATATGGTAATGGTAGTATACCGTACTCCCGACCTAGATACTTGCTAAAAGCCCAGACACGTGTTTCGCCGATATTCTGCCGCTGCGTGACACAGATGCGAGGGGTTCGGCTCTTCAGTGGGACCCCCAGCGTTCTCTAGCGGTTTCCGGTATATGAACTCCAGATAATAATCAGGTGAATAATTTCAGAAATTAATCAATGCAGAACTTGGAGTTAAATCTCCGGGACATGACTTTTTAGGGTCAGAACCGAAATTTCAATGAACATTTGAGTCGAAGACAATCAACTACTGTGGAAGTTCATCAGTGCCTCGCCACCTGTCATACTCTGTCGCTGCAGATCGGGTATTTATCAATCAGGAATGGTTGCCTGTTCGTGACCTTTGCCACACATACGGAGCTTGTTTGCTTTGTGAAGCCAATAGATCGGTGTGCGCCCATTCCTGATTGATAAATACCCGATCTGCAGCGACAGAGAATGACAGGTGGCGAGGCACTGATGAACTTCGGTTCGATGAAGTGCTTATGACCCATCTGGTAGGCCTCAGTGGTGGACCGACTGCGCCAGGTGCGTCTGTGCGCATGTTTGTGTTTCTGGTCTCAGCTGCTGGTGGTCAGGGTTATGATTGGCTGAATGAAGGCAGAATAAGCCCGAAACAGTGCTGTATCAATCTACCCGCATTCTCTGTGGTCCCTCCTCGCTGCTATTATGACTTGGCCGACTTCGGCCTGGTAATTGGTTGCCTGTTCGTGACCTTTGCCACACATACGGAGCTTGTTTGCTTTGTGAAGCCAATAGATCGGTGTGCGCCCATTCCTGATATATATATATATATATATGGCAATATGCGTGAAGATGCGAGGTCCAGATATATTACAGTGTATATCATCCCCCGAGGAAGACGAAGAAGAGAAATCGATTTCATGGACCAGGTTGTATTCAGACTGACGTTTCCTTCTGGCCTTGATCTGTTAAGCCTTGCCGCCTGCCTCGTATTATAACCGTGCACAGCGCACGTTTGTTGACTAGCCTGCTTTCCGTTGGCTGATTGTCGCCTCCCCGATCTCAGCCATTGGTGGACTGGCGGGGCTTGTGTCCCCCTCACGCCTAACGTGGTTGCCGCGGCTTCGGCGTGCTCGTTCGCCTCCCCCTCGTCAGACGGCGGGCTGATCGGTCTTTGTTTCTCAGGCGTGGTGTTTCCGGTCTCGCGAGTACGTCCGTGAGACGGTGTGCCACGCCGGTCACGCCTTCTCCTCTCTCCGCGAGCGTCGTCGGTCGACCCCGTGTGGCTCTGTTCATCCGTGCCATCGGCCCTGCCTGGACTGACTCGAGTCTTGCGCGGAGCGCCTGGTAGGCTGGATGTAGGTCTATGGCCCGGTTGAGTGTGCCAGTCGAGGACCAACTTTCCAGCATTAGTCTGGCCATTTTATCATTGG